CAGCCGGATTTTGTTAACGGAAGGTTACTTTGAGTTCCACGATTTAAAAGGTTCTAGGCAACAAAATGTCTCAGCCGTGGGTCGCCTTTCTGGGAGTGCTGGCCACCCGCCAACTGTTCAAATAAACGCAACTAAGTTGAGGAACCGGAAAGGGCTTTGTGGCCGTGACCTGAAAGTAGACAATTCAACTCGTTAGTTGTCCATGGCCATCCCTCAGCTACGTTTGAGGATCTCAATAGCCAAACAGTCACAGATCCAACTACTCGGCTGCAGTCTTCGTCCAAGTCTCCATTGTCCTTTCAGTCTGAGAGATTGACATCAGGGGCTTCATACAGGAGCTCAGTGACCAGAACAAGTCCGGATGCTCAAACTCCTGCTGGGAAAGCATCAGCTTAATACCTGAGCAAAATGCGGTTCAACCTGCTGGAGTGCTATCAACGACAAAGACCCGTGATGGCAAGAACCTCTATGTCTTCCTCTCACACAAGCGACAAGCTAATGACATCCAGCTACACATCGCCAAGCGTTCTGCCTCTGGATTCACATCAGCCATGTCAGGACTATCAGGATCATCCAAAATGGTAGGCCCCTTTTGGATCGGAAAAAGCCAAAGAAGCAGCAGATCCAATGGCCAGGCGACGGTGGCGCTCCTTTGGAGCGGCAAAGCAGGCCGGGCAGTTGTCGGCAATCACCGGCAGCCTGGCGCTTGAGTCGCGAATGAAGCATCTGACCTCTGACCTGTGTACTGATTGAACAAATTGAACATGAAAATACAGTGTGTACAAGCTACGTACTCGGTGAATAGGCAAGCACAGCCCGGGCACCTGTTGTCCTTGGCAAACTGCGCCAGCGTCTTTTCGCGCACATGCGCCAAAGGTCTGCAGACTCGCAAATCCTTGGCCGCCACTGCATAATTGGCCTGGCGCTGACTCGATAGGCAACAGGACATCTTTATGAAAATCGCTTGGAATCCAAAAACACTTCACCACAAGCCTTCATGGTGCGCAGCGAGCCGTTCCGGAAAGCTGACATGAGGAACGACTCGGCGAAATCGTCCAAATGCCTTGAACTGATAAATCACCAGGCAAGGTCACAAATTGAAGCTTCAATTGGAGGAAATTTCCACGAAAGCCCTTAGCAGGCAAAAAAACATGTACATGAATACAAAGAACAAATGCAGAGCAGCAGTCGCATCAAGACTCCCTTCGACTTGTAAAGCGTTCATTTCCCAGCAGTCTTTCCCTCTATCCCTCTCTCAAACCCTGCGAAATGCTGCTAGATCACAGCAGACCATAAAATGCTGCTCTAACCCTTACGATTCACGATCTTTGTGGAAGTTGATCCAAGTGGATCGTCAAGCCCACCCTGCATTCAAGGCGCTGCCCGAGGCAAAGGACCTCGGAGAAGACTCACTGCATCTCAAGTCCCTACAATGCTTCAAGCCCTTCCATAAACATATTGAGCGAGCACTGGGCTGAGCGGGCTCCCAAACGCATCTGATCCTGTCGCCTCGAGGTGGGATTTGTCCTTCAAAGGCATGAATCCCCAACAAGTCTAAACGACTGCTATCGCTGATCGCACCGCACGTCCGAATTCATGAATCTTGGAACATGGAACTGATGCAAATGTGTAAAAGGCTTCGGTCTAACTACGCCCCCGACTGGTACTAGTTCAGTGCAAAACCCGCCACCAATTAGAGCTGAACCGCAAGGTCTCACACAAAGTAAATTTCCCCACATGCATGTTGTCGGGCAAGATGCGTTGTAGTTGTTCTCTCGCATACAGGTATACCTAAGATGAAGACTACTGGTCAAAGTCAGAGTGCTGACTGCAAAGCAGCTCATTCTGGTCGTGTGAGGAGTCTAGCCAATGGTCTGCCCAAATCGAAGGACTTGCTTGAAACTCCGAAGTGAAGCGCCAAAGTGCAGCATGCCTCGCTTCATGCGAGCGCAAAAAGAGCCTCAACTGTCAGAGTCAGAGTGGCAGTACTTGCATGTGCCATGCTTGTCATGCTTGTCATGGTTGTCATGCTCATCCTGCGTTGCACGCGCATTTGAATTGGAGCCTAGCAGCATATGGAGGGCTTCTTGGGATCCAGGTGGCATTTGGCCATTTCAATGAGTGGCTTCGACAAGAAGTGGTAGGTCACACCCAGCGCCTTCAAGTAGTCCTCGGCATTTTACATTTCACAATTTATTTTAAGTTCAATCAAATGCCATTCAATGTCTATAGACTGTCTATGCCTTTGCCGCCAAAGAAATGCCAGGTCAAGTGTCTATGAGGGGCTCGGGCTTGAACTCGGGTGTCTCCGGGTTCACCGTAGCCGCGGCAATGCTAAACTTCACAGGTGAACGCCGCTGCAGCTCTAGAAGCACATGCAGCATTGTGAGGCTATCCTGGAGAGTCAGGTCCAAGTTCTGGAAAAACATTGTTGGAATGGCCCCTCTGACTCTCGAAGCGATTTGGACATGCGCCAACAGCGGAGAACAAAATCTGCGAGACCTACCAAGTGAGCTACACAGTCCTTGCCGCCGGACAAGCCGACTAGCAGTCTGTCAGCTTCGCGGATCATGTCATACCTGCATCGCAAAACATCCCGAGTGACATACAAAAGCAACCTCCGTTGCAACAGCACATAGTGCTATGTTCTGTCAAGCTGCTCCTTGATGGCTCCCGCCACTTGGCTTCGCAAGGACTTTGGCACTTTAGGTGCAATGGCGGTGCTCGGATAAGCCGGCGCCGGACCTTTGTACAGATGAAAGCAAACTGAGATTAGCTGAGCGTTTTCGACATGTTTATATACTCCATGTACGAGCTTGCTTACTCAATCAAGCAATGGCCTGTGCATGAGACTGATTGAAATCGCACAGGCCCAAACCTCTCTCTAGACTTAGATCACATCCCTTGCGCGAGAAATGCTACCTGCCCGTTGATGCCGACACATTCAGCCAAAGGCTCAATGACCTGCACTGTCGAACTCTGAAGCATCCTCCTCAACCTGCGAAGAACGAAATGATGAATGGGCAAGCAAAATACAAAGCTTGGCTAGTGCAAGCTGGACGTGTATGAGTCGGCCCCCGCCTCCCCGAACTCAAATGGTAGCACTTCAACTTCGCAGGGGGCGGGCAGTTCCTCGCTCTGCCCTGTGCTATCTGCGGTGCTCTGTGCTGAGCTTACGCTAGAAACCTCAAAAATGGAGTGGGTCGGACCTTGGCGTGCGGGAGACCACAATTTGCTCAGTCTTACGCCAAACACCAATCTCCGATCCATCGATCGGTCCGCAAATAAGTCTGCGACGGTCCACCGCCTGCTATGACGTGCGCGAGCAGCACGGCACTGCGACATGCAGCATCAAACCCTGCCTTCGCTGCCGTGAATATTGCCCCCTCTGCCGCCAGCCGTGGCTGCGTCCCACCAGCAAGCAGCACCTCTGAAGCGTCTGTGGGAAGCGCAAACCAAACCTCAGTGCAAAATGACATCTGACCAAATAATCGGCCTCTGAGCACCTTGAGTTGAAGTCCCATGCAAGCAATTAAAGGCCATCTGCCAGCTGCGCTGCTCATCGGACACTTCCAGCGATGCCAAAGTGTCATTGAGCTTCTTAATCACAGCCAAACACATGTGACCATGCCTGCCTGCAAGCTTGAAAGGTTGAATATTCATGTCCGTATTACGAAAGTTGGGGGCTCTGGCAGGATGAACTGCTGCAAAAAACGACGCATCATACCATGTGTATATAGCAAGGCGCCAGGTGTGCATACTCTGCATCCAGAAGGGGGCAACGTGTCGACGACAATGGAATCGGATTCTCACCTGCACCGCATTCCCCGAATTGCCTCAACAACTTCGATTCCCCCTGACCTCTTGTTTGGCCCAGCAAGCATGATTCCATGTCACTCTGTTTCCTGAAGGAGGTTGATGGGTCGAGCTTGAAAGGTCTTGCGATTGGCTTTTGCGGGGACTCTCTGTCAGGCCCTATCGTGCCATCTCAGAACACCTCTGTATACATAAAGTCCGCAAGCGAATCATGAGATCTGCCTGCTTAGGTTCAAACTGCACAAAGCCAAAGACCTCCGAGTGTCATGTGATGTCGTGCCCTCTGAGTCACAATCAACACCTGGTGATCAGTAAAGGAGTCTATTCAAAACCATGTACAGAATCAAAAGAGCAGCCGCAGCATTCATGGTTGAGGGACTTACTTTACTAGCCTTTGAGTCTATCCTGTCTTGTTTCGTGGCTCATCTGCAACCTCTAGCGCTCATCTCACCTATCCTCACAGCGGTCGACTCCCCGCCCACAGCTCGAACAACTTCTCAAAGCCTCTGAAGCTGCTTGTCAGCGCAGCATCTGCTGCTGCCAGAACATCCTGTGGGGGCGTCTGCTCCTGACAGAGGAGTTTGTTCTCTATCTCTGAAACCTCCAGAACTGCAGCTAGATTGCACTTCATGAATGGGAGCAGGGCCGTAGGGATCCGAGTGTAAAGCTTTGAATCAAGCTTGTGCATTCTCGTTAGAGACAAAACTTCTGCACCCTGACTTTGTCACTCCTTGGCTTTATGCGATGTCTCCAGTTCTCGGAGTGTGTTCTGCAGGACGGGCGGTGCAAGAGAGGAGAGCCAGGCTCGATCCTCGCAGCTGAGCATATTTGCACCCGAATTGTGTGGGCAGAAGGCAGCAAACTGCCTGGCCAGTTGACACCGCTCCTGCTGCGGCGTGGCAAGACGGTGGTACCACTCCCCTGTCTCTACGCAGAAGCTGTATGCTGGCAGCAGTCGCCAACCATGGGTAGCAACCCAGTCCTCAGCTAAACAAACAGAAGTCGCAAACAAGTATGTGCGTGACTGCTTGTGACTGCTTGTGACTGCTTGTGCCCAACTCGTTCAAAGCAAACTGATCAGAACATCACAAAGACAATCTGCCGTCCAAAGGACAATGGCTGAAGCCATCAACTCCAGGTCACTTTGAGACATGGTAAAGTGCACGCCCACACGGACGAAACCTGCACAGTGCAATGACATCATGAGCAATCGCAATTGCAATCCCACCTGGTCGCAGCACCTCCTGCGCCGATCGCATGAGTGCCTGGCAGATTGGCAGACTGGCAGAAAAAACTCCAAGGTCTCCATGCATCCCGGTCCTTCCCGGTCCGTCCCGGTCCGTCCCGGTCCGTCCCGGTCCGACGCATCGGTCTCCGTCCCGCCTCATCAAAGGCCTTGGCCGTCGTGGGGTCGATGCCCAGCAGCTGCTGGGCATAGGGCCCCGCACAGGCGCAGCCTCCCCTGGCCTGAACTCCGAAGAGGTCATTGAGCCTCACAACTCAGCTCCCCGACGGAAGACTTGAAGAACATACAAACATATACAAACTGAACACCCTTCTGCCCAGCCACAGAGCTACCACATAGTTGTAGTGCAAATATAGGCCGCCTTCTGGTGAGTTTCCGTAGCGGATCATGAAGGACACGATTGCAGCACGCGGCTGCGAAAGATCTGCCTTGCCAAGCACCTCAATGCCTCAAGGCAGTGGGCAACATGAGCCATGGTCAACGACAGTCAATATTGAGTGTCCCCAACTATCATTGGATGTTGGTGAGTGAACCTCTACTGTATACAATCGGTACTGGCCGCTTGGTGAGTGTAGGTGAGTGTACTGTCATCCCCTCCTACAGTACATGACGCATGGTACCTGCTGCCTGGTGGGTATGGGTCAAAATCCGCCGACATTGCTCGGCGTGTCGGATACTTAGTAGAGGATAGAGGATAACCCCCCCCCCTAACCCCCCCCCCGCCCGACGTCTATTACGTAGGGGGGGGGGGGCCCACGTACCGCGCGGCAATTTGATGACGTTCCACTAAACGTAGTCTTCGGGGAGCCGGTGTCGCAAAACAGGGGTCCCAGGCTCGATTCCCCCTGCCGGCTTTTTTGCTGGCTTGGGCGCCGAAAATCTGGAAAAACTCAATGTTGTTGGACGTCCTCTTTGCGAAAACGCTAGAAAAACCGTGCTTTTTTTGCGGGAAATACGTACATACATGCATGAATGCATGCATGCATGCATACATACATGCATGCATACATACATACATACATGCATACATGCATTACATACATACCTACCTACCTACATACATACATGCATTACATTACATTACATTACATTACATTACATTACATTACATTACATTACATTACATTACATTACATTACATTACATTACATTACATTACATTACATACATACATACATACATTACATACATACATACATACATACATACATACATACATACATACATACATACATACATACATACATACATACATACATACATACATACATTACATACATACATACATACATACATACATACATACATACATACATACATACATACATACATACATACATACATACATACATACATACATACATACATACATACATACATACATACATACATACATACATACATACATACATACATACATACATACATACATACATACATACATACATACATACATACATACATACATACATACATACATACATACATACATACATACATACATACATACATACATACATACATACATACATACATACATACATACATACATACATACATACATACATACATACATACATACATACATACATACATACATACATACATACATACATACATACATACATACATACATACATACATACATACATACATACATACATACATACATACATACATACATACATACATACATACATACATACATACATACATACATACATACATACATACATACATACATACATACATACATACATACATACATACATTACATTACATTACATTACATTACATTACATTACATTACATTACATTACATTACATTACATTACATTACATTACATTACATACATACATTACATACATACATACATACATTACATTACATTACATTACATTACATACATGACATGACATACATTACATTACATTACATACATACATACATACATTACATACATACATACATTACATACATACATACATACATACATACATACATACATACATACATACATACATACATACATACATACATACATACATACATACATACATACATACATACATACATACATACATACATACATACATACATACATACATACATACATACATACATACATACATACATACATACATACATACATACATACATACATACATACATACATACATTACATACATACATACATATACATACATACATACATACATACATACATACATACATACATATACATACATACATACATACATACATACATACATACATACATACATACATACATACATACATACATACATACATACATACATACATACATACATACATACATACATACATACATACATTATACATACATACATACATACATACATACATACATACATACATACATACATACATACATACACATACATACATACATACATACATACATACATACATACATACATTACATACATTACATTACATTACATTACATTACATTACATTACATTACATTACATTACATTACATTACATTACATACATACATTACATTACATTACATTACAATTCATCCATACATACATACTTACTTACGTACTTACTTACTTACTTACTTGCTTACATTACATACATACATACATACATACATACATACATACATACATACATACATACATACATACATGCATACATACATACTTATGTACATGCATGCATACATACGAGAGAGGGAGATTGGGGAGAGAGAGGCTTGGGGGGATGGGGAGGATGGGAGCAGAGGGAGGGAGAGAGGACGACAGAACACACAAGGGAGACAAGGAAGAGAGGAAGAAGGAGAAAAGGGAGAGGACAATGTCGGCGGACTGAGCCGGAGGCTCTAAAGTTAAACCACCAGGGGACCGTGGGTGTTAGTCCTTTACTCCACTAACCAGGGTTCCATTCTGAGTACCATTTTTTTGACCCACAGCCAGGTTGCGATGGTTGCCTGCCCAGCGCTCCATCAAGAAGCGGAGCCCCTGTGCTTCGGCCTGCAAAGCATGTGTAGTGTGGCAAGCCAATGCTCTGACCGAAGATGGCATCCAAAGTTAGCAAGTGTCATTACTTGCATCAGCTGGGTCCTCTTGCTCATGGGACAAATCAAAGTGGTGTTGCCCTTTGCTCTGAAGTCAGCACGACCGACGCCAGAGTTTGCTGGATTCTGTCACCAGTCACCAGGTTGTCAATCTTACAAACCCTTGCTTAAAGTAAAGACCTTTGAAAGCAGACCGAAGCACGACTTGTACCCCGCAAAAAGAAAACAAAAACCAAACTCGTTTCACAACCTGCCACAAGTTCCCGCAGCTGCTTGAAGGAGTCAAAGGCCTCAAATACCTTCTCGGGCAGCAAGGTGTGCAAATGGTGCACTAGGCCTGCCAGTGAGCAAGTCTCGACGTGAGGGACTGAGGGACCATTCAGCGCCATGGCCTGTTCGGATACAGCCGATAATGTCTGGCGTACCAGCTTCTTCTCTGTCCTCGCTGTTCTGAATGTAGGAGTGTCCTGTAAGCCAACCCCAAGGTTCACGCTGCCGTGCGCGGCAGGCACGCTCAAGGGTCGTGCACCAAGATAGGTGCGTGGTGGCCAAACAACTGACATTTGATTCTGGCCGGCCTTCATGATCGACAAAGAACACCACACCACCACCCGGTTCAGCTGGCACCGAATTTCTCAGCAGCCTGGCAAGCTAGTCTCGAATACACAGTTTTCTAGGTTGCCAACCCTTGGGCCGCAGGCTTTGTGATTCTCATTGAGCAAGCAGGAAGACTAGGGACTGCTCTGTAGCACTGTTACATAGCTGTCAGGGGTTTGGCTCGGATAGATATGTACATAGCGCCAAACAATGCTGCCAGTATCATCCAAGCCAGGCTTCGTCGTGTTGTTCGAGGTTAGTGGCTGTGTGCATCAGCTAGACGTTGGGTGTTTGGCAAGACCGCATGTACTCACCAGCGTTGTCGACTGGATATTCCCATGTTGTGTTTATGCTGCGCTGGCTGGCATGGTCACCATCTGCTAGATCTGAAGGCGGGCTGCTTAGGGCGTGCACAAAGCCAAACTGCCCGACAGCGATTACCTATTCAGCTCCGTTCTTCCCAGACGGGTACTAAACTGCTCCAAAGGCCACAACACTCTGAATGCATCACGCGAAGGTTTCGCCTCTTCTTGGCTATCAGAAGGCCAACTGAACCAGGACCGCCCAGGAGTTTGTGCGGCGAAAAGAACGCCACGTCCACAGTGGCGTCTGGCCTGAAAGAAAGCATTTTCCCCGTTCAAAGGATTGCTGGGAGGGACCCGATACAACCAAGCACCAGACCAGGTCGGAGGGTTCAGATCAGGTCGCAAATGGCCAGCTGTTGCTGCATAATCCCAGCAGGCCAAGCCGCCTTGGCGAAGTCGGGCTCAGAGCAATTGGTGCGCTTTTGCAAGGTGCATCCTGGGGCTGTGGCCATGCTGGTGGATGATGCTGGTCAGGCGGGGCACATCTGCCAAAAGCCCAGTGACGTTGGAGCCAGCACACAATACGCAAACCGCAGCCGCACCTTTCCTTGGCTGAGCATGCTGAGACAATGATTGTCTGGCCAAATGCCCGAAAGCATGTACCGATCCAGGTGCACTTGCAACGTCACTCTTCTGGCAAAGAGTGCCAAGAAGATCAACAGCAAACAAGCTTCATTGACTGGACCTTTGCCAGTCGCTCCGTCAGATCATTCTCATCCATCATACCCGTAGAAGCATTTAGCTTCAGGGTGCAAACCTGAATCGATATCATTCAAGTCCGCTGCAAATCAAGATTTGCAAGACAAGGGCTATCTTGTCAAACATGGCTGATTGTACGCCTCCATCTCCACGCTGTTCTCAACAGCGTGCCCGCGGCTGTACATGGAATCCGCAAAAATGGGCTCCGTGCTCGCATGAACATAGCCTAGGCCGCGCTCAAGCTGCTGAAGTTAAGACTGGGACAGGTGAGGTGGAGAGGAAAGGCGGGCAGGCCGAACCAGGGAACACGCCAAGCCACGGTGTGTGAGCTCCCTAAAGGGCAACAACGAGGAGTGGTGCGCCAGCGCATCGCAGAGGACCACCAAGCGGCGCACGCCTGAGCACCAAAATATCTAGCACATTCAGTTCCAGTCTGCAGGCAACACAAAGCACTCAGCGGAATTTTGCCTTCGAAGACATCCTTTGGCCGCTGTGCCCTCAGCTTCTGCTGGTGCATCTCGCTGCCTGCATGGCTGCGATACTGCGCTTCCTCAGGCGCATAGCAATCGCGGATCTCTCGGGTCTCAGAACAGGAGCACCGGTACAGGCATGCCAGGCTTATCAGGTATCTCGTCCGACATGCGTTTCATGGTTACACCAATGTTATCGCACGACAGCTGGCATGCATCAAAAGCATCGCGTCAGAGCAAAACTGAAAAGTATCTTTCCCGAACGCGCACAACATCTCACAACATCACGCTGGCTTGCGGGATCCAAGAATCTGTCTTCAAGCGCACGCCACAGAGCGTGCACTCATAGCTACCCCAGCGATCTTCACTGAGAAAGCCATCCTTAGTTGAGTGAAGATAAGCACTGCGCCACTCAACGAGAGCAATACGCAACTTGTCGGGTACAGTAGGCGGGGGTGGCACGGATTCAGGTCTGGGGTGGGGGGGGATGGTTACGTCGGATTCCACTAGTTTTGGGGATTACGCTCGGATACCCATTGACTCTTGTCAAAGTACGTGGACGCGGTCTATGGCATGTCTCGTGCGGTGACAGCCTGGGCACAGCTTGCGCAAAGCCAAACAGAAGGCTTCCATTAGCGATTCTGGAAGTAGACGGAGCGCGCAATGAAGTTGATAGACGCCAACATGACAAGCGCTCGCGCAGCGCGCGAGCACAAAGTCTGCCAAGAAGTTTGTAGCTAAAAGGCCAGCTCTCAAATAACCCGCCGCAGCAGCTCAAGTGCATGGAGGGCACTGAATCTGAAGGACGGGCCCATCATGCACACGTCCGTGGGCTTTGTGTGGTGCTTGCACACCAGCGCCCAGGGCTCGAGAATATGCTGAAGGCATTTGCTAAAGGGCTTTTGTTCAAGACAAGAAAAAGACCTTGTAAAGCGCAAACCTCTCTTGGCTTCTCACAGCCCCCAAAGAGCAGCAATCTACAGCCTGAGACCACAAAAGCGCAGTGAGAAGTGCCACGCCAGCGCAGCGTACCCGGGTTCCTAAACCCGAAAGCAAGGAGTTGAGACCCTTCGAAAACACGAGTTTGGCAGGGAACCCATTTAACAGTTACTGATGCATTTGGCACACTCCTGACTTCGCGTCCCCTGCGCCGGCGCCTCAGTCTGGACTAACCCCCCCCCGTCATCCCAACATTTTGCCGCTTGTCCTATTGCGGACAAGAGTCGGACACTCCCGCACTACTCTGCAAACTGTTCTCCTGCTCAGACACAATACATGCAAAAGAAGCTTGATGTCGGATGTGCTGCACTGCCTAATCAAAGCTTGCGATTTCGTCGGAAACATTCCATGAAGACCACTGCAATCCCAGTCCGCAAAAGACGGAAGCAGCCATTGTGAACGGCACATGATGCTCACAAACTTCTGCACGGCTCCTAGGCACCCACAAATATGCTTGCCCATGACCCCTCTACTCTGCATGCTGTCTTCAAGTCGCCGCTATAGGCACTGCAAGCTGGCTGAGACTGTGACCCGTTGTACCAGCACCGCAGAAAATAAGAGCATCTTCGTGGGTTGCCTAGGTCTTGGGGAAGGCAGCCTTCTTGCCTTTGTTGCCTTGATGCCTGCAAACCGGTTGGCCTCCCCACCCGCCTGCCCGTATGTTTGTGCACCCCCATGTACAGTAATGTCTGCCAATAGCCCAGGTACATTCATATAGTGCTTCACGATTTGTCTCGCTTCATTTCCTCGGGTCTGTCATGTGTTCCAACATGGAATAGAGATTCAGAGTGCAATGGGATATCATTATATTGATCCATTCCTAATATCAAGATCGCGCATGAAAGAGAAACCAGATAGTGATGCTTATAAGAACAGTACCAATAGAAGCATAACAAAATAATCAGGAAAGCATGACATTAAAATGTTGGTATGTATACAATTCCAATCAAAACTTGGTCACAAATGCAGCCTTTTCCACCTGTGTGAACCCACTGCAGAGCCTGTAAAAACACCAAGGCAAGCCACGAAAAAAGGTAGACTGTCGTGCCGTCGATGTAGACAAAGTGTGCGTGTTGCCGTAGGCAGGAAGAATCTGATCTCTGATAAAGTCTTCCTTGCGGAATATGCTGAGCTGCAAACTCACAGACTGTGTGAGAAAGTCTGCACAAATGAATTGGATGCCAGCTTCGCTACAGGCACAATGAAGAACAAAAGACTTTCAAAGCTGGCAGGCGGCAATCCATTGTAATGCTCGGCCAGAAGCCGTGAAGTCCGTGTAAACCAATTTGCGCCCCCCGAAGGGCGTCTTAACAATGTGGTCTACACCTTGGCAAGCAAACCAAACCTGATGATCCCCTTATGGAGGAGCCCATTTGGCAAGGGCGATAGCTGTTCTCTTTGAGCTGTTGTGCCAGTTTGGGAATGGCTTGCTAGCATAGCTCTAGATTGCAGCTGTTGGGAGTAATTGGGAGCTAGCGCTCACAAGCCTGTGAACGAAATAGGAGGTCTGGAAATGCATCCAATCAAGCAGGGTGTTGATTTTGGCACCAGGATACTGGCAATACCAATCCTTTGAACTTTGAGCCCGGTGGGAATGCTGGGGATGCAAGTAGTTTTGGGCAGCATCTGCAGCATCTACCCTCACCATCCACTGGAAAAGTGGTGCAGGAAGTACTGGAGATACAGGTAACATCTTCAAGACTTCTGCGCCAACAGAGCACCAAAGCGGACAAAGCAAGAACAGACCAAAATACAGAAATAACATTCTGAACTGTGTTGTCAGTTCCGACTGCGCACGATCCAGCCCAAATCACGCAAGCACGGCAATCTTGCCAGCGCAGCCGGGCGAAGCCCAAACATACGCCGGCCCAGATGGTTGCACGTTAGCAAGTATGGCAAATAAATTCATCACTCTGAGATTGAGGCCGATGGTGTCAGAACGCAGGAACTCCCGCAATTTGGATGTGACCTAGGTTCTAGCATCATGTCGAAATAGATTGAAAACCTGCGTCAAATGCTAACAGCCACGCAAAACAGGCACAAAGCTAAGCGATCGTCATCATCATTGCAAATGTAGGCCGATTTGTGCCGTATCTGCTTGTCCAAATCCTGTCACCACTACAAGCTGTCCACGCTGATGCAAATTGGCACTGGCTGAAGTTCAGCTTGCATGTCACACAGCAGAATCTGCTCATGATTGATTTGGCCATGAGACCTGTCCTCATTTTCGAAATCATATCGCAGCATGACAAACGCTGGGCAGTCGATTTCTGCTTGTTTAATATGGTGGTCTTGGTCAAGCAGGCTGTGTATTATGCTTGGTCACCTCAAGAATACCTGCGACAGGCTAACATGCAATTCTGTCGCACCATTTAACATGGCCTGCTGAAGCACAACTGTGTCCCCGTATCGCTTCTCAGGACTAATGCACATGCTGCTGTAATGTACTTTGAGCCAAGGCTAGAGGATGCAAGTTGATCAGTCAGATCCAGTCGCTGCCTCTCTCTAAAACAAGCCGATGGAATCTGCCCATCACGCTTAATTTTGCTTCGCGCACACCTCCGTTCGTCCGGCCAAAGAAATGCCTGATGCTTCGTGGAAAAAACGCAGCTGCAGCTCACCTTGGGGCATCAGGGCCAGAGAGGGCTGAGCGAGAGAGGAGGGAGAGTTCAAATCAGCAGAAGAGTGCTGTGGTTTCAAACATGGATGCGGCCTGGCTTGGCTTTCGCCTTGAATGGGGTTCCCTATGTATTGTGTGCTTGGTGAAAGTATGGCAGCTGTATTGCCATATGAGCACTCATATTGCTCTTATCTGTTTCTAGGAAAACAGGCAGCCCATGGTTCTGTTTGCGGAAATCAAAGAGAGAGAGATGGTGAGAGACAGAGAGAAAGATTGTTCATTTCTTGAGAATTCTCATTCATATTCATTCTAGATATCCTAGAGATATTCTAAAGATACTCTAAAAATGTTAGATCGCGTTAGATCGCTAGATGTTTGAGGCGTCAAGTCGCAAGCCGCTCGCCGCCCGTGCGCGCCATTGGGCCCCGGGCTCCGGGAAGGCCTCCTGGAGCCGCAGCAGCACGAAGCCCAGGATGATGCCCTCAGGCGGACACGCTCCCGACACGAAAGAGAGAGAGGGAGAATAGAAAAGGCACGGACGGTAAGGCTTTAAGGACGTGAAATCCATGAAATAAAGAAGGAAGACGGGTTCGGAACATGCTCGGCAAAGGCGAAAGTCCGCCAAACTCCGAAACTTCAACATTGGCTGCACACCCAAATGATCGCGAAGCTGATGGTCAGGGAGTAGGGAAGGATCTCATCATAGAAAACCTGATGATTGCTTCCACAGCCGCTCAGCTGAACTCAGACGAAGTGAGCCCGCACGTTGTCACAGCTCAAAAATCTACAGAGCAGCTGACGCAACTCATATATGAATGGCGTGTGAATAAGGCTATGCGGTGCAGCATGCAGTGCATGAAACAAAATGCCATGGCAAGGTCACAGGTGAGAGTCATGACTCACATTCCAAACTGAGGGCTAGACATTGGCATATGCAGGCTCGGCCGTGAGCAGTCCGGCCGACAGCCCCCAAGCCACACCTGGGCAAGGAGATTGCCTTGAGACAGCTTTAATATGAAAGCTGAAAGCTCAGATGTCGTGTTGCAACTTGTCCCAAGTGTTGTCAGCAAGAAAACTTCATGCTCAGCAGCGATCGCAACCCCAGCCTTCCCTCACCTTCTGCTCCTGGCCAACCTGCCAGGCGCTCGCCCCTTCAATCCGTCCGTGTCGCTCTGTGACTCATTGTGCTCTGCGACTCGCCAAGAATCTACTGCCTGGTTCTCTGAAGTGCCACGCGGCGCCACGAAAGCATCCGGCGCCATGCTGCGGTTCAATGCAATCCTGGCTCACAGGAGCCATCCGCATGCACTATTTGCCAGGCGGTGCAGTCTCTGAAATGCCAAGGGGCAGTGCAGCGGCCAGCAGGGCAATGGGGAGGAGAATGCTGCGGGCCATCCTGTCTTGCAATTGCTGGGTCCAGCAAACACGCAAAAATAGATCCAATGTGACTTGGGACCTGGTGTGGGCCTTGCCACTTGCTTTCGTTGCAAACTCCAGGTGACGTCAGAAACGGGCTCATGAGCTCATCTAGGTGTCTCATGCAAACAGCAAAGACCTGATGCAGCCCGTGTGCCTTGTGCGGACTGCGAGCAACTTCGTAACTCTGGCTGCGACTGGAGCTTTGGGGCTTCGAGCCAATGGCAACGATTGCAAACCTGCTGATGCAGCCATGACAATGTCGCATTGCTTCGTGGGTCCATGTTAGAGTTGTGCTCAACAAAGGAGGGAGGAGAACAAATCAAATTGGTCATAGTTATATTCAACCAAAATGCAATGAAGAATACTAGACTAGAAATACAAACAGACATAAAAATACAATGGGAAAAAGCATGAACAATCATATCATTGATTCTAAAACTTAGACTTGCCTTAGAACAAAAGGAATGATTATGAGAAGAACATGTCAATTGAAATCCTCTGCTGTGACGCCTGGAGCTATATCTTGCAAAATATCCACCCCTCTATCCTTTCCTTTCACTCGTTGGGACCGTTAACCTCTTTACCCACCTCCATGCATCCTTCTCACGTTCCTTTCCTTTTGCTTTCCTTACATTTGCCTGGCGTGTGAACCCATCTCTCCACTCTCCTTTCCCTGTCACTCTCGTTTGAGCGGCGAGTGACCCATCCTTCCAACCAACCCTCCCAGTGCTCTAGGTACAAAGAGAAAGATAAAGAGGGAGAGGGATAGAGAGCGGGTGAGACACGGAGAATAGTCGGCAATGTCAGGCTGCTGGATTGTCACTCAATCAAGAGCGTAACCTTTGCAAATCTGTTGGCGAACACTGCGCTTGCCTCGCATCAACAAGGTTTGATCAACCACTAACTGCAGCCATTGCTGTGTCTCGACAATCAAACGCAGCCACGCTTGATTTCTGCCACCTGCGCATGCCGGCCTGGGTGGCCCAATTGCAATTTGCTAGGAAAAAATGCGCCACTGGCAGCTCACCTGGGCAAATGGCAGGCATAGAGAACATGTGCACCTTCACAATCCAGTCTACAATGGTGCGATAGAATTCTTACAGGCCTGACGGTCAATGGTCCAGCCGACAGGCAGAGGGCAAGCTGCGCTGGGGGAATAGCTTTTTGGACAGAGGGGTGGATGGACAGTTGGCTGCATGGACGCGTGGGCAGGTAGCAGGGGTTGTGTTGCACAGCCAGCTGGGGGCCAGCAACGCAAACCGCAAAACAGGATTTTTGAACGAGCTCTGCATGTGGTCCATGAGGTTCAGAGAGCGTGTCAAAACAACCATCAGAGAGACCATGATTCTTAGCCGCTCCGCGGCTCCACCAATGGCCATTGTGATGTTGTCCGAGGCACCCTCCCATCACATTGCTTGTGCAAGAAAAAGCAGCCCCTTTCCTGGGCACCCGGGCTCCGGGAATGCCTCCTGAAGTCGCAGCAGAACAAAGCCCAGGATGATGCCCTCAGGCATGAGCCATATCGAGAAAGCGCACGCTGCAAGGCTGCATCCTCGACTAACCTTCCGCCCTTGGCTCAGCACCCAAATGATAGCGAAGCTGATGGTCAGAGAGTAGGGAAGGATCTCGTCATAGAACACCTGCCCAGCCCCAAGCCCGCCAAATATTGACTGCTTCAGCACTGCGGCACCCTGTGCCCATCAAACTCGGAGCAATCCCCAGGCACATTGGCGTAGGCAGGCTCCGCTGTCAGCAGCCCGGCAGACAGTCCCAGAGCCACGCCTGTCGAAATCACGAAATCTGGTCTATCTCCCATGCCGTCTTGCCTAGCTTGCGTGGCAACATGCGCGCTCCAGTGATAAGATGGGCGTTCCAAAACAATTGCCAGGCAGGGCTCAGCAATCAAAGGAGAGGTGATCCAGCGAATCGCTTGCAGATCACAACAGCATGTCTTCAGAAGCATCACCCCCAGCCTTCCCTCAGCTTCTGCTCCTTGCCAACCTCGACCTAACATGTCGTTGTGATGTGTGTTTTCCCCTCAGCAACCAACTTCGGCAAAACCAAAACCGCAAAAGGACAAAACTTCAATCCTGATGGAAGGAGTTAACGGAAGGCCAAAATGCATATCCAAAAGGAAGAAACTGAGCAACAAAGTTGCCTGGCAATAGTAGAGCTGGAAGTAGACTTCATGTACTGGAGACGTAGCATGGCGTGTAAAAAGGGCGGGTTGGGTGCTTTTTCCTCCGGCATTGACTCCTATTCAGCTGGCATCGCACCATGTCGGTGTGAATTTGAACTGGCGACCATTTGGCAAACAAAAGTTGCAATCAAGTCCATCAACTTGGTCCAGCAATCAATTGTGGAGTTCCCCAGCAAAATGAATAAAGTTGCAAAAGTCAAGGCTGTGGCCGTCGCTTTCCCTTTTCCTGGGCGCCGTGCCTCGGTGCCCCGCGGTGCCACGAAGGTGCTGGGTGTGCAGTTCCAGGCACACCTGGGGCAACTCGGCCATGGCAACTCGGCCATGGCAACTCGGCCATTGGCACGTGGACATCAAAAGCCAAGGCTCTGCCTGCTCTGCCCTCTCTCTGTCTCTCTCTCGCTGACAGCTGCCAAGGCACAGCGCACAAAGTCCCAACAGGACCAGAGGCAGGAACGTGCTGCGGGCCATCCTGCCATGTAGCTTGCTGGATAAATTACATGGCGGACCTCCCGCTGCTCCCTGGAAGTGCACACATTGGGGCACAGCGAAAGCTAAGCCGCGGCAACTAAGGGACATGTCAAGCAATCCCGCCTTGCAGTCCGAGATCACAGAGTCGTTAGGGCTCCGGAAGCTAGAGCTTTGGCGCTCTGAGCCGAACGTCATGATCGGAGTCAGAGGACCAAGACGGCCGATAGATAGCCAAAGCTCTCGCTGCACCAGCAGAAAACGAGACCAAGAAAAGTATCGGTTTCCGGCAGCTGTCACTGCCTAGCTGTAACTCAAGGAATGCCCGGGCAACAGCCATTGCAACGATTTGCGTGCTTCGTTTAGAAGGCAGCTCTGCGGGTGGCTCCACAGAAGGGCCTTTCGCTCAAATTACCAAATGCGAAAATGCCTGCTACGGATGCTTTTCCTTTTCTCAGCATTGTGTGGGCGCCAAGATTGCATTCCCCACTCTAAGGGGCCCCTCCAAAAGCCTCAAACAAAATGGCACCGGTGTGTCTGGCGGTTTTATGCCGGGATGAAGATCCATCCCCCACTCGGTTTCAGGGCCCGCGGCACCTGACAGCCGGGAATGCGCCCTCCACCAAATCCGGTTACGGGATTTTGGGTGGAGCGTAGCAGAATTTAAAGTGTCCTCTCTCAGAAGACAAGGAAGCAGGACGAAGGGTCAGGTCCTTGATCCGCACACGTAGTTCATCAAGGTGCTGAACTCCCTGGGAATGTGGTCCAACTCCATCCGCGTTGTCCTCAGCGAAAGTGTACTCAGGCCTTAGTCCCCGTCAGGGCACGTGGCACCCGTAGCTGCCGGTCACAGGGGGGCGTGGTCAGGCCAGCAACCGCTGCTAGACCTGCCACTCGACCTTCCTGGCATCAGGTGTCTGCAGCACCTTCGTCTGCTGCCCTGCTAACAGCATCAAGGGCATCAGTGTGGGACGGTTTCAGGAGCAGTGTTGGCCCTCCGCCATTCAGAGGCGGGTTTCCAACTGTGGTGTGTCAATGATGGCTGCCGCCAAGCCCAGCATCATGTCCCATGGGTAGCGGCTGAGGTCACTGGAATTATGTCTTCCGAGACCGCGTGTTTGCCATACGGATTTCTTGCCAGTGGTTGAGGGCAAGGTCCGTGAATATGGCGGTAGACTTCGTGACCACCTGGCCCAACATCTCATCGCGTTCGGCCTTGCGCTCACCTCTGCTAAGCCCCTTGGGTGGTCCAGGAAGGAGCCCCCTTGCAGCGCAACCGATCTTGCACGCTAGCGAGGTGTTTGCCTGAAGATAAGCGCGCTATCATTGCCATGTCCATCATCTCCTCCAAAGTGATCGCAGTCAGGCCTCAGTGTGCTTTCCGCTCTTTCCCCAGTGCATTGTCCGGCAGCCCCTAATTTGTAGAACCATCGCAAGACGCTCAATGTTCTACAGTTTGGGCCTCCGCATACGAATGAGGCCTGCTGCTGCTAAAGTGCACATTGTGCTGCATGGCTCGTCCTGCAGCCTGACGCCGTTTCTCTGGGTCTCTCCGCATGTCCACCGCCCAGACAAAGAGAGAGAGATTGCTGATGCAGGCGTCCAAGGAGCCCGCATCATCTTTTTCGGCATAGAGGAGCAGGGTGACAGGCGCCTGGTCCGCCGGAATTGTAGGTGGTTCATCGCGGACCTCTGCCAGCCAGGGAAAGTTGTGCGGCGGCGCTCCCTGCACTTTAGTTGACTGTTCAACTGTGAAGTAGAGGCTTCAATATGTCCGCCCATTCCAGATAGGTGTTGGCTGTCTGTGGGCGCCGTGTGAGGTGTTGGCGCTGCCTTGGAACATTGTTCCACTGGCTTGGATTGTGGAAGGGTGGGGGTGTGGTGTTCGTGCCCTGGCCGCCGATCAACCCATCATTTGGCCAAATGCGGGGAGGTCACACTTAGCTGTCCTTGCGGACTGTGCAGTTGTGGGAGCGGTCGCACGCTCCTGGGCAGTTCTTGTGAAGATGGTCGTCCTTGCAGAAGGTCACCCCCTTGCATTTCTTGAAGGCCCAGCCTTCCTTTCCTTTGGATTTGCCTCCCTTTCCCTTGCCTTTGAAAGGCGGGTGTGTTGTCCGTCCTGTTGGAATCTGGGGGGAGGGCGTCTCTGCTTTTCCCACTTTGCCTTTGGCGCTGCTGGCGCTGGTCGTTGCACACCCCCCGCAGCCAGAAGAGTAGCTCCTTCCTGATGGTCGCGAGTGCCTCCGCGACTGTTTTTCTGCCAGGCGTTGCTTTCCCGTGGTACAGGGCGATTTGGAGCTGGGTCCCGGTAGAACCACTTTTACCAGTTGTCCCCGCCCCTCTTTCTTCGCCAGGTTCTGGAATTGGGGGGCCAAACTCCGGCACTGGCTCCCAGTGAGGTGAGCCTGACTTCACCGCCCGAGGGAAGCAGTAAGCAACGATCCAAAGGGTTTAAACGGTTCATTTTTAGACGCGACGATGTCCCGCTCGCTTAGAGCGTCGTAGAATCGCGAGCGCATGGCGCGCTTAGCTGGCAGCGTCTAGCTGCCCTGACTCCTTTCAAGGCGAGCAGGAAGAGTTAGCTTCCTGCTCCGTCATCGCTCTTGAACCCATAAGAGGGTCCTTGCTGACAGCACTAATATGGAGCGGTAGCTTCTATATTGCGGAGGACGACCGACCAGATTGAGTCCGACACCGGGCCCAGACCGTTGGAAGCGCTGAAGCGCATGCAGCTGTTCGGTCCATGGTCTCCAGGCTTTCGTCTCGGGGGGGAGCAAGGGCAGGGCAAATCTGCGATGAGCGGATCGCATTCAGGGAGCGCCCCTTGGTCTACGCCAAGCTCACGGCGGACCTGGGCAAGACCTCCATGGTGGAGGTCAAGGTGAACTGGCGGCGCAACGCGGCCGGAGCTGTGTGCGAAGCTGGGCTACAGTGCGGCGGACATCCGAGCCAGAGGTTGTACCCCACCCACGGGTGCCGCGCGCCCCGGGGTGGGGGAAGCCAACGTCCGCGCGAGGAGAGCCCCGCCGCGCAGAGGCAGTACCCGCCAGTCACGGCGGCGAATGTGACCTCCATCGCGGGGAACTCCTTTGAAGCAGCGCTTCACCAGCAAGCAGAAGCACGGGAGCCACGCAAAATAATTACATGTGCAAGTGTTGCCGGGGCTTCTGGAAGGCGGGGAAAGGGGGTAGCCGCTTCATCCAGATCGCACGGGCGGGACACGCTGGTCGATCCTCGACGAACCCCCGGACTTGCTGCGTAAGCAAAGGGCCACTCCGCCGTTCCCTTCGGCTCATCCCGCGCAAAGTTTCTCGCAGCCTTCTTCGTCATGATGAGCTCGTGAAGGCGTCATGGACGTCGAAGCCCCTCTTCCGGCTGGGGGTACCTTTGGGCCTCCTGCATCCCCGCCTGCAGCGGCTGCAAGATCGCCTGGTTGTAGTCCAGCATCTCCACCACCCTGCGCACCACCACACACACGTGTGCCAATTTGCACGCTTTGGCGCTGCACGTGTTTGACTGAAACTTGAAGCAATGTGGAGCATTGCGATGCACGATGGCCCGAGCCAGACCTGGAGGACTGGCCGGAGCTGGCCTTGGCTCAGATGGAGCGGGCCTAGGCATGCGCTGCGTCCATTCGTCTGCCAGGTCTGCCAGTTCATGGCGTCGGTCGGACCACTGCAAGAAATGTGCACTGCGGGGCAGTGGAAGCACGCTGACATAGGCCTTGATGCTCTCGAGCAATGCAATGCTAGAGCGGATGACCAGTGCGATGTCCTCCATGCCCAGGCATGGTTCCCATTGGTCTCCTGCTCAAGGGAGTTGGCCGTCTCCGGGTGAAAGATCTGGAAAGTCTGCTCTTCCTGCTTGCGGAGGTCTTCGCACACTTCTTCTCGGAGTGCTGGCGCTGCTCGGCCTGGGCGGCCTCCGCTTCCTCATCCATCACCTCCTCCCTGATGGTCATCCGGAAGTGCATGGGGCCACATCCGCCATGCTCACCTCCGCAATGTTCCCTGCCGGAGAGGTCCTTTGGGCAAGCTCCGTGGCCTGTCCGGCCCCCGGGGATCGCGTCACCCGAACTGGCCTGGATCCATTGCGGCCCGCTGGAGCCAATAATGAGAGGAGAAGCTCGCCGAAGGGGTCGCGAAGAAAACCGATGCCGGATGGGAGCATTTCAGCACTTGTTCGCCTGTGTGGGCCAGCCTGCCATGCACTTCTCACACATGAGCTCATACTCCGATGCTCGCAGTGGCTGGTCCTTGAGGTCCGAGGCCTCATCGCTTGAGGCGGCCCCAATTTCCCGGACCACGCGACACCCGAAGGTGGAGGGACCTCCCGCGACAGAGACAGCTTCGCTATGCAGCCCTGGAGCTCCGTCATCTTCATGAGGAGGTCACAAGCGATCGGACTCCGCCTGCGCTGCCACCGCCTCCTCTTCTGTCACCAAGGTGGTGTCCACCGACTCGAAGGAATCCGCACTGGCTTCCGAGCGAGACATGGTTGAAGCAAGGGAGGGGTAATGAGAAGAAAAGGTTTTTCTCTTTGGACAAAAGTCAAGAATCTTGAGCCAAAATGGCCCATTTTGACTCATAGTGTTAATTTGTATAATGACACCGCTACGCTCTTCCATTAGAAACAAATCATCCTGGCAACCGAGGACATGTGCGCTCATCAATACCATTTGACGGCCAACTTACGTTGTAGCCGTGTGCACAGCATCTAGAAACCTGCCGTCTAGCGTCACCTGTAATGTTCAGGTGGCCCAGAATTCTGCGTTCCACAGCAAGAAGGCTTGCAGAATGGGCACTGAATGCATCACAAGTGTTTCCTGTAGCACTGGCATTGTGCCTATTGAACATGCAATAATCCGGGCCTCTTCTTGTCACCATGATATCGTTTAGGGTGGCAAGCAAACGTTCAGTTGTTGCGACTCGCTGTGGACGTGCTCCTGGCTTAGCTCACTCCGTTGCAGCCTCCTTGCATTCAAGCGAATGCATGGTTTGACCGCTTGAAAGGATTGGAAGGGATGTTTAAGCGACACGCGCCCAGCCCTGCACTTGTGACAAATGACGCTATGAACCAACCGGGCAATCAAGCAGCAGATATCCAACTGTGCACCTTCTATGCATTCCTGACAGAGAAGAAGATACAGCTGAGGGCAACAGAACAAGGCTATCATAAGTCGCTTCGGCAACCCGTCCAGGAGGCAAAGGAGACGCGCTACAACCTCGTAAGCCTTGACCATTTCTGACATGGTGCAGTACCTGCAAGGCAAGGCAAGCATGTTCTCTGGCGTCGTGGCTTCGTAGCGTTGTGGCGTCGCGCATCCCACAAAAGGAGAGCACTCGTTCACGCCGTGGTAGACGGACATCCGTCCGAAGCCACACAGCTGGATGTCGAAGCCAGACTAGCGCACTCTTGCTGCACAGCAGTAGGCGCTGCGTTGTTCAACAACAAAGCACAAGAAAAGCTCCAGCAGGCAAAACACCCACGCCAAAAGACTCTCACGAGAAGTTGCCTTCTGCATCATCTTCACCAGCCTGCAGAAGGCAACAGTCGGCATCCAGTGTTGAGCTGGCAGACACCATGGTTCAAAGAGGCATCTGCACATCCACCTCAAAGCCTGATCCGATGTCAGCTGTTTGGGCCTACACTCCTGAGGAACAAGCGGCAAAGAGCCATTGATGCTGAAAGGAGCAACTCCTGCACAAGCCAGCAAGATCCCCGCAAGAATGAAAGTACATCTCTTAAGCATCATGCTTCTATTGGCTGTGCTTGTCAGTCCTTTGTTGCTTTCTCTGAAAGCCTGCACCAAGGCCTCGCGCTCACCGGCTGGTCAACACACAAGGCTCAAGCTTTGCTGATACAACATGCCGTAGTTCCACAAGTTTATCTGCAAAGCTGTGCATGGTGTGTGCGGTCCAAGCGGTCAACGCTTGGAATCCAACATGCCAGTTCACACCATCTCATCATGATCTTGCCTTGCCTTGAACTCCTATTGTGACATGTGTAATCCGCGGGCGCGCGTACCTTGTGGCCCTCTGATTCCAATTTGCATGCGAGGCCAGCGTAGAGCTTGAAGCTGTCCATGTCGCCCATCCAGACGAGCTCCACCTAGAGCACAAGTTGTCTGGAGTTAAACACAAATGCTACTACTTTCCGGGGTTGAGGGGTGAGAAGTCTAGTAACACGTATCCCGAGCAAGTCATGATGCCTCTTGCACAAGTACGCTCTCGGCAAACATATGGCCTCAGGAAGAAAGTGGTAAGGTATCCCCGACTCTGCTCAAAGCCCCTTCCAGGACTTGCAGTTCGGTCTCTCATCTGGCCTTGCCGTGGCTGATCTCGTTGGCTTGCACCTGAGTGAGAGGCAATCCAAGCAATTCCTCACTTGGGCACTTGTGTTGACTCCTGCAGAATGCAAACTGGATCCAGATGCCTGCACGTTGGAGGGCAGGACGAACTTGCTCCAAGGGCCTGCACTTTAACCCGCAAAGCCATCCGACAAGTCATCTTTCGCCTTTTGCGCAAAAAAAACAACAACTGTCCAAACCTGCAAAGAGCTCCGATGGGAATCCCCCTCTTGAACTCTTTGAGGACTGTTGGTTTGGTTGATGGTAGTCGCCTGCAAACAGCTATCAGGGACTCTTCGTGCATACCTGCCTCGATTGTGGGTCTGAAGATCCCCCAGCTCATCATTCAGATCCTTCAAAATCAAACTTGCTGGAGCCAGCCGTGGAAGCTTGCTGGAAATCACATGTATTTGTGAAAATTGAATGACAAGAACACGCAGCTGCATCTGCAGCAATGCAGACATCCGGTCCTTGACGTACTGCTCAATGTGTTCAACCACATCCTCGACCTCGTAGAAGGGTGATAACCTGCTTGCGCATACAAGGGAGTTGCACAATGCCACTCGAAGCTCCGATGAAAACACCATGGTAGAAAGGCAACAAGAAGCACAAGCCAAAGTAGATAGAGCGTGCCTGATGTCACCATGGACAGTGGTCTCAGCTGGTATCTGATTGAAGGAGCCCTTGGAGCACTCGATCTGCGTGGGTTTCATGTGGGACCTGGGCTGACAACGTTCAGAAAGCTGGCCAGGAGGACTTCCGGATCGTCCAGCATTGATCTACCCTGTTCAACTGATCCTTGCCATCCGTGCCTTTTCTGGGCACTGCATACGTTACGCAAGGTATCCATCATGGGAAAGCCACAACCAGGCTGCCAACCCGGTGTTAAAGGCGTAGAGCTCCTCCTCTGGCAGTGGCGGAAAGTCGTTGTAAAACCTTTCCTGGATGAAGGCAACGGCCTGGCCAGGTGCAAACATTTGCCCTGACGGCAGAGTGCAATCCTCTCAGCCCTGCCAAGCACTGCAAAGCTCTGCCGATGGATGCCATGTTCATTTGCTGCCAGCGTGAACGCCTGTGTGTATGTGTGTGGTGTGTGGGTGTGTGTCTGTCTCTGTGTCTCTTTATTTTCAGCCATAACGTGGCTTGCTTTCTATTAGTTCCTCTTGTGCTCATGCAATTGGTCAAAGCTGGCATCACAATGTTTGCCTTGGTTCTGACAGACTGTGTTGCTGCGCTGTTCACATAACGGCGTTTTCGCAAACGTTTTGCTGATCACCTTCCACTTCACAAATGGACATTACGAATGGCCCAGCGTTCTTCCTCCACGCTGCTTTAATCAAAGACATTGTCCCCTTTAGGATCTCAGGGGATTGCATGTCCTCTTCCTGGCCTTCTTCGGGCCGTGGCGGAGGCCTTCTGACAAACAGAAGATGCATAAGGACGACCCATGAAGCCCGACGCAGGCGGCCAACGTTCAGGCAGAAGCATTCTGGTCAATGTAGCAATGCGACTGAGATCAAGCTGCTGCCAGCTTTCAGCGCGGGAGCACACAGAAATGAAGAGCGGACAAGAAAAACCGCTGACTTCACCGTCCTCCGAAACAGTTGGGCGGGAAGTGTGGAGATTGCCGGCGTTGCTGCTGCCACTTCTGCTTCTTCAGCGGCACTTTACCGTGGAGTAGGTCCCATTCCCGCCATTTGTGTTAGCAACTTGCCAAGTTGCAGTTGGTAGATTTGTATGATGTTAGAGAAAACCAGATGCTTCTGACAAGCAGGACATAGGCCCAGCTGCTTTGGCAACCGCCATCAAAATGCTCTAATAGACATTACGAAGATGAGAAAGATATTAAAATGACGTGCTCATACAGTTGGAATCCAGTTTGTCAAAAAGTGGAGCAAGCACGCTGCTGATGCTAGATGCAGTAGTCTCCATGATGCTCTACTGTACAGTCCTCAAACTCACCTAAATACCGGGCGATACTGTTTGCTGTCCCGCCCTTACAATCGACAATTGGGTAGGACCACTCACATGGTAGATGATAGATGTGCAGTACGTGCCCTCGCAGCCCGGCATGTCAACAACCACGCCAACCTCCTGTGCCAGCTCAATGGAGTTGATGGCCTTGTTGGGAAAGCCTGATGCGTGCATCTGTCTCCATGCCCACCCAAAGGACACCTCCCTCAGTCTTCAGGCACAAGAACGAACAGACCGCAAGACGCGCAAAATGTGGCACCTGCAGCACGGACTAGGTGACTGGTTATCTGAGCTGATGTGCTGCCCAGGCACCACTGTGGAAGAGCCTTCCCTTGCACTTGAGCGACCTGCTGCGAAATGCACACTTGACAAGGCATTTGTGCACGTGGAATATGTATATATATATACACATATGTGTATATACATATACATATATATATATAGGTTGCATATCATTCATAGGTCAGAGTGTTCTTAACAACGGTCGTCATAGTCAAAGCCTGTTTGCAAAACGTCCAGTCAAGTTCTTGGCTTAGAATGTTGAAGTGCCCGTGTCAACTCTACACAGGGTACGTGCCTTGAACATTGTGCAGGCGAGCAGGCAGGGTGCAATAGAAATGCAAACAACTTTGCCAGCCCACCAGGACAGTGCCCCCGCTGTCCCACAGCATGGATTGGAGTCCGCAGAATCGACCTCAAAGTGAATCAAAGGCCAAAGCCACAACTCACGGCTCGGCTCTCAGGCCAGCACCCAGTAAACTGGGCCGTTCTTGGCCTGCCGTCACGAGCCCGACAACGACTGGAAGCTTGTGAGTGAAAGGTGAGAATGAGCCTTAGCCCTTCCCAAATACCTCAGCTCCTGACCTCTGTCAGCTTTCCATTCTCCACGACTTTGTCTACGCCTACGTTCTTCTCACCTCCCTCCTCTGCCGCAATGAACAGCACCACTATGCCTGGCAATAAATGTTGAGGTGTGATAAGGTGCCAAAGATATCATCTTGGACGGCTTCAAAGATGGTTTGGCAAGTTCAGCCAATTGGGTCAACACCGCCGCTCAAGGTCACCCTGCTGCACTCACATCGGAAACTGCTCAGCCACAGAAAGGGGCAAAGATCAATCCAAATGGCAAAAGGTTCAGCCGAGTGGCTCCGCTTCAGCTTGGGCTTGCAGCGTCCCAACTCCCGAAGGAAGGTCGTCAGCAACGCCACATGGCCTGCTCGCTGGTACATGAGTTACAGCATGAGTTCACAGACTGCAGGACAATTCTTATTCGAACATCCTGTCTTACCGTCTTACCAATGAAGTGATTGCTACCTTGCACAAACATCGGTGAATGTTGCCACGATACAAGGTGTGCCAAGAATAGGCCGACGTCCTGCCTAGGCAATCTGTTGTTCCGCGCCCATAGAGGTTGTCACCCTCAATGGTCAAGGCAAAGGGGTCCTTCAGGTGGCTGTCTCCACATCATGTAAAGGCTCTGGCAAACAGCTAGCAATCTGCGGGCCTTTTCCCAAGTTTGTGTCAGGACACTATGCCTTCCAGGAGGGAAGTTGGACGCAATAGTCCGAAGCAACTTGCATCAGTCATTCCAAGACTTTGAAGACTTTGCAGTGTATGAAGATTCTACAAGCAAGAAGTAGAATGAAGTAGCTGCTCTGGGCTCAGAATGATCCCAAGCCAAAGGACTTGAGCGCAGGCAGAACTGGGACCTCACGCACATGCTTGCCTTGGACCAGCTCTCCGGGTCTGCCGGGACCACGTCGAAGTGGCTACCAACCTGAGATCCTCTCATGTCACAAAACTGAAGGCGCTTGCTCCTCTAGAAGAAGCAGTGCATACACTTGCTACATGTTATGAGCTGGAATCTTAAAGATAGGATCACTCTCTGTAAGGCAGCAGCAAAGGAAACAGTTGCTTTGCTGGAGCCAGGATATGTAACCTCAGCAGTTCTGCGGCAAAACACAAGGCATCTCATAAAAATGGCCAGATGTCCTGGGTTGTGCTCTGGTGCCAGATCTCCCCTAATGATGGCACGACCAAAACATCTTCGAATTGTGTGCTTCATGTCTTGGCCGCAGAAGGAGCACAGACAAGAAACTTCTGCATGCGGCAAAAGCAGCTACAATAACAGCCCCTGCATAAAGCCATCAATACCTCAAAGTCATCTGCGTGAAAGCTATCAAGCTGTGGGGGTCTGATTTTGAGACCGGGATCCGCACTTTGACATTCGACCGACCTTTCACGTACTCCAACTCCTGGAGGCACGCCATTTGATCTAAAAACATGCACAAGGTTCTCACACGCCTCTAGCACAAGAGGACCGCCTGCTTGCGTGGAGTACGCCTCCACAATGCTGCAATCAGTTGGCCAAATGAAGATAAATCTCTCCCATCGGGCTTCCAGCATCACCAATCAGCTCAATACACCCGTCTGCTGCATGTACAGTTTTTCCCCAGCCTTTAGCGATTGCAGTACGACTTGTGCTGCCCGCTTCTCCTGCGCTTTCTCTACATGATGCTTGTATGCTGCATCATCCCTCAGAAAGCTAAGCTGTCAACGCTAGTTCACCAGGTTTTTCCACCATTCACCCACGTAAAAGAACTCAAGCAGTCATTGTTTGATTTAAACATATTGCCCACAAGCTGGAAGTCTCCTCTGGGTGGATGCCCAATCGTGGGTTGTTCTGCAGGTGCTTTGCCTCTCCTATCAACCTGCAACATGTCCGGCTTGCAACTCAAAAAAAAAAAAACGAGCGCAAGAAGGCAAGAGGCAGTTGCGTGTCATTTTGGGGTATTGTTCAAATTCTGCCGAAAACAAGCAGTCGTTCCATGCAAACTAATAGAAATACTGAACTGCAACCACTCCTTGCAATTGCGGAGCCGGGGCTCAGGCTTTTTGAGCACATCAAGGAAGAACGTCTTGTCAATGTCCTGACAGGTCTTGGGGATACCTGATCATCATAGCCTTGTCAGTTGTACAAAAAAGAACCCGCCCGCACTGAGTACAGCTTCAATCTGATTGGGTCCTGCGAGAAGCCAGGCAACTTGCCGAAGTCAGCTTCTGCTTGAGTCAGACTTGCCTGGATTGGCGCTAAGACAAACGCGCTCTTCCCGGTCTGTCTGTTACAAATGAGGAAAAACCTCGATTTGTGAGCATCCTGAGCCACCGCACGTCCGAAGACACTCTGACTGTTGTCGGGTAACTCCTGTCATCAGGCCAAGCCAAGCACAACCGGGACGTGCAATTTCCGACAGCTTTACAGTGCTGAGATGTCGACGGCTGGGATTCCCGGACTTTATGTCTCGCCGGTGATGTCATGTACCTGCCATGCTGACCGGCTCGACACCTCAAAAGCAATGCATGATGCGATCCACTGGCGGCAAAGAATGCCGGCGCGTCTTCATCGCTGGAGAGGCCAAAGGCGGCCTGGCGCTATGGCAGCCCAGAAACTGAAAAAAAGAAGGGACAAAACGTAACCTGTGACTCTGACCAATGCGGGTTAGCTTGCTGAGTCTCTGGCATGAAACTTTCCCCACGCTGTGGGACGCGCTTGCTCTGGGATTTGTCCCATGCCTGGCGGCCAAGACACGTGCAAAGCAAGCAAGTCAAAGGACAAACACGACGAGAAGACGCCAAATCAGGAAACCAGGCCTTCAGTAGGGCAGCGCCCAGGCCCGCGGCGCACGTGAACTCTAGGCACTGCGTCATCGCCTTGGCAAATGGAACGCCGAATGTATCATACGGATATAGAGAAATCAGGGTCTGGATGTATATAGACATATATATATATATGGGTATGTCTTGTTTGGAGGGTACCCTTTTAGGGTTGGTTTGAAGGGAAACTAACAGAAAACCACTATTTTGGTGCCCTAAACAGGACACACGCAAACACATACATTACATTTCATTACATCACATCACATTACATTACATTACATTACACTGCGTTACATTGACAAGCATCCCCTCAAGTTCTGCACACTCAGCATCGCGCTCGCTCTTTTTCTCAATGCTTGTGCTCCAGAGCTCAGGGGGACCAGGTCTTTGGAGGGCGTCCCCATGTGGCAGAATGCCACACCATGTGCTCACACAAGATGCACTCAATGTGCACACACAGGATGCACCCAATGTGCTGACAAGCACGCACTCAATGTGCTCACAAAAAAGGATGCACTCAATGTGCTAACAAAGGATGCACTCAATGCGCATGACACATGAAGATGACTGCAACGCAGGTCAGCCACCTCCCAACGCCTCACGCCCCCAATGCTGCAAAACCTCCGGAAGCTCTTGGAGCGCAACTGTCTGGAACATATGCCATGGCGGCGCTGGGCACTCTCGGAGCGCCCAGGGCCGGCTGCAAGTCCACTTGTCTCTGACGCCACCGCGACTGAGGCCATCGGATACATTAGAATGACTGTCAACCCACGACCAACCTGGCAATGTCAGGGCACGGGCTGCCTCCCCTGATCAACGCGCTGCATACACTTTGGTTGTCAACAAAGAGCAACATGTCTTGGCCCTCTATGTCTGAAGCAAAGACAAGTGTGGCCCAGAGGACCGCGAAATCCAAGGGGCGCAATCTGTGTTTCACGTTCCTCAAAAGGCCTGTAGTATGCACACTTGCACAGTTGCAGCCACGCCCTGTGTGCGATTTGCACCCTGACCAAGCAAGACCGCGCCAAGTCCGGGGGCTGCCATGTCCTTCGGCTCCCAACTTGCATCTGTGTACAAGACGCTCACATTACTACGCGTTGCCTTGAGGTCTATCTGCGGCGGGGCAACATGCATAGCCATTGCTCGGAGGTAGCACAATGCCTCTGCAAGCTGCGGGCTGATCTGGGTAGAAGCATCATGATACTGCCGCTGCACAAGAGGGCCAATACCCCCTCTGGCGCGTTTGCCAAACATTGCAGACGCGGCCCATGTGAAGCGGCCTTGCAATTTAGCGGCCTGGCCTGAGGTGCAAACTTTCGCTTTTAGTATCTCTGCTATATCTGCTGCAAGAGCTTCTCTCAAGCCAGGCTTGACATCAACCCTTAATTGAAGTTGGTGCAGGAAGGCATTCAAGTCCAGCAGTACGCCAAGGAACGCACGCTGGGAAGCCATTGGCTGCTGCTTCTTAGGTCAAGGATGACCCCTAAAGAATCATAAACAACTTGCACAGCCTCCTGGGCAGACCCTCGAGCAGATTGCAGATCAAGGATGCCAGTGTCATCGAAGTAATGCGTGACACACCCTCCGACACATCGCCTAAGGTGCGCACGAAGGATTGCGTACCGCACAGCACTGGCTGCTGGGGCCAGGTGGAGCTCTAGCTTCGCGACCTCTTTGGGCGCCGCCCCCCCCCCGCCTTGGCCCTGACACAGTCATATGCCTTCCCTGAGCTCGTGCCGCTTAAGGTTGTCCTGACTGATCCAAAGGCAGAACTCTAGATCAACAAACAGTTCACGGATCGAAAACGGTTGACGGGTTTGGTCCTTGATTGTCTGGAAAGTGATCTGGGGGGTGCGGACCATGCGGCCCCCCTCAGGGACACCCTCGTCTGCCTCGAAGAGGTCGTCGCGCCTCTTGTGAAGCGCGTGCCGCCGCTGGAGATCTGCCTACACAGGTCGTGCGATCAGAACAAACGAGAAAAACGGTTCACGGATTTAACTCCCTTGAACACGCCCTCGCCTTCGAGTTCGCAACGGCCTGCTTGAACCCGACTTTCCAAGCGCGGAGCCCTTCAGCTGGAAGGAATGGACGGAACGCCGAGAAAGTCCTCTGCACCGTGTCAATCCATCCGCTGGTGTACGGGCCGCTCCTTTTCTTGGTCACTCGGTCTTCGTAGGTGTAGAAAGAAGGCAATAACCAAGTCGAGTGACAAATATTCACGGACCGAGGTCAGGCACCCAGGGGATGGCTCGCCTCAAGTTCACCGGTCCACAATGAAACGGTTTACGGGGTTTTGGACAACCGTTCACCGATTTAATCAAGTCAAGTTGCTGGGCTCAGCAGCAAGGGAGACGTCCGTGAATTGGACGTGGAGTAGGAATCGGTTTTACGCGATCTCTGCCCCAGCATCATTCATCCGTGCCCTTCTCTCACGAAGCCCATCGTCATTCGGACAGCCCGCCATGAACCACTCCTTGTCAGCTTCCACGTTGACGCCCGAAGCTTTCCAGGAGGTACTGGGGGTCTGTCGGGGCCGTTTGCGCCCAGACTCCGGGACCTCCGGCACATCTGCGCGGGGTCCCGGCGCTATCTCGTCCTTGGCAATGAGTTTTGGACGGACAACCGCCTCCTTGAGCTTCGCGGGCTCGGGCGCCGCTGGCGCATCATCATGTGGGATGTCCTCCACAGCCTCCTTGTCGCTCTCACCTTCCGCGTCCACAACCACGTCGTAGTGGTTGCCCCTGGTGTACGCCAACTTCACGACTTGGACGTCCACATCTCCGGCATTGTGTGGCCGGAAGGTCAAGGTGTTGCGATAGACCCCAGTTAGCCGGTGAAACGCGTAAACCTTCACTTCGAATGCCTGGTGGTGGTTGACCCAGGCATTGATCTCCATGTCCCCACCATACGTGCCATCCGACGACATGCCTGACAGAGCCGTTTTCCACAAAAACGGTTCACGGGCCGAACGAAAAAACAGTTCACCGGTTTGAAGGCCACGGGCCTGCCAAATACTTGTCCACAGAGAGACCCGTCTCTCCCTCGATGCTCTCCGCGTAATCAGCGGAGTAGTCACCAATGGTGGCGCACACATCAGACCGCACCTGGTCCTCGGGCTGTTCGGAGAAGCGCCCAAGGGCGCGGAACAAGCAGTTCCCATTTTTCTTGATCTTCTTTTTCAGGAGCCCTTGCGTGCGGAGGTGGTCCTTAACTGTCTTGTCAAGGAACTCGCCCTCCAACTGATCAATCTTGGAGGCCTGGCATGTGCAGCACACCAGACCACCTTTTGATTGGGCGCTTCCGACGCAACTGTTACCAGGCCTTGACATAGGAGAGTGCCTTTTGCTGGCCCACGGTGAGCTTGCAAACGCACTCGGAAAACCGCCCGGCTTTCTTGTTGAAGATCTGGACGTGTCAGCAAGCAGGCCGCTGCAACCAGGCACAGTGAGGTTGGCGCGCCCTATGTCTCTTGGCAGGTTTGCGACCCTGCTGCGAGCGCTCTGCTTGCAGCTAGGGATTCCAGAGGCGGAAGTCATTTCATTATCGTCATATTCACTCAGGAGGTTTATGCCAACGGCAGCAGATGTCCTTTGCCTGCCTGAGGATGCCCGGCTTGCAATAGGAAATTGGGTAGACAGGCCGTCCGTCACCAGCGAAGCACAGGCCAAGACCATAGTGGTTAATAGATCAGCTATGCCACAGCGCTATGCAGCAGACAAGGTGCTCAGCGCTGGTTTTGTGAAAGCCAAAGTCTTGGCTGCGCTTCATTTTGTGGCAACTCGTGCAGGGTCACAGAACATCGACTGGTCAGATGTGAGAGCCCATGCGCCCACAGAGGATGAAATGACCCGAGCGGTTCGGACTGCGCTGCCATTGCCTGCGCAGAGCAATGCGCCTCAGCAGGCCGAACAAGCAGAGTCTTCTTCAGGGGATAGCTCTAGCTCTTCTTCATCTTCCTCAGATGAGCCGGTGCTTGCAGAGGCCATGTGGTTCCGGCAGCGGCCTGGCACGGCTCAGCATTTAGTGCAAGAAGTAAAGGCAGGCTGGCTTGTGCCGTGGTGCAGAGATCAGCCATTTGCAGCAGTGCACTCGGAGAGGGGGATCGGTTTTGATCCCGACGATTTATGCAAACAGTGCTGGGCAAGACCTCCAGACGCCGTCCGTCAGCAAGCGCCGCCTGGGGCGTGAAAAAAAACCTAGAGAGCGCAAAATGGGTCAGTGTATCATCCCTTTGCCCGTGCGCAGCTTGCCTTTGCGCACTTGTGGGGCTGGCGCCTGCTTGGCTTGTTGGGCTGCTTGACATTGTGTCCCGGCCCCAGGCAGCAGTGTTGGCTCAGGCATGGGCTTTGCGTCATCATGACGGGCCCCCCCCCCTCCCATTGACCATTAGAACCAGATGGAGGAAGGTTGTTCACGCCGTTTGAACGCATTCTCACTTCCATTTCTCTCCTGTATTCAAGCAAGCGCGTTCACTTGATTAATTGCTTCTGCAAATAGTTGCGCACGCTTTGACAAAGCCATGTCTGCAAAGCTGGAGCAGCTGAAGCAGTGCTTCCGGGATGCCAAGGTTCCGGAGGCTTTGATCACACACGCTGTTGACACTATCGGACTGCAGAGCTTAGATGACTTTGTGAATCTAGTCACCATCAACGGGTATGAGACCGAGCTTAAAACTGTCCTGGTCGACACGTGTGCTCAGACGAAGGATGATCAGCTAGTCTTGGCTCGCGCCAGAGCGGCCATCGGGGCGGGCGGCGCTTTTGCGCACAGAACTCAGGAGGCAGTCTGGTCAGGCGCCTGAGGATGTTGACGAGCCGCTCGAACCGGCCACCCAAGAGAGCTTGCTGACTTCGTGGGTCAGCAAGTACGGTTACAACATCAGTGTCCGCCGACATTGCTCGGCGTGTCGGATACCTAAGAGAGGATAGAGGATAACCCCCCCCCCTAACCCCCCCCCCGCCCGACGTCTATTACGTAGGTTTTTGGGGGGGGGGGGGGGGAGGGGGGGGGTCCCCCACGTACCGCGCGGCAATTTGATGACGTTCCACTAAACG